ACATTTGGATTGATTTGTGACCACTGTTTGGGAGGGATGGTTATATTGTGTATCTGGAATGAATTTTAGGTCTCTACGTCCATCCCATGGGGAATGGGAGCAGTAACAAAGGTGTTGCGTTTATATTTTTGTTGAGTGTATTTAGTTTCTGATCTATGATTTAGTAAAAAAAGTTTTTACTATAGTGAATATGTTATGATTGATAGTGATAAAGAGTCATGATATTCATATGTGAAAGATGAGAAGAAGTAATGAGAAATCTTGTTGAAATAAATATTCGTGTGAGATCACATTAAAGCACAATATAGAAAAGAATAACGCATGGAGTGGTTTTGATTTTTCATGTGTGTGAAACGTCACAGAGAGAGAAGCAGCAAATTTTCTTTGTGATGAGGCGTAAACACTGTCTGAAGATCCAGCTCTGGAGTCCACTGTTAGAAATTACAGCAAGAAGTGCAAGAGGAGCAACCACCACCCGAACACTGTGGAACCACAAATTGATCTTATATTTTTTGTCTTTTTCTCTGGTCATTTTTGCCACGTTGCATTAAATCTTCCAAGTTTTTGGAGTATATCTACATGGAATACAAGTGTACATGATAACCTGTATTATTATTATTACATCATTCAAAGGGTAGTGGCCTACCTTTTGAATGATGGTCGTCACTAATGATACCCAGTTAGTTGCCAAGTGCACAGATTTAGAGGTGAGCTGCTGATAATGGGTGTGGCTGAGGGGAGGGCTTGATTGGAGGCCCATCCTGGCAAGCACGCTTTCAGATGAAGCAAGATTGACATCCGTAGGAAGCAGTTAGAGCTTGGCGGGTCTCCTCCCCGGCTCAATCCAAGCTCTGTTTGCCTACTGGATAATACTCATAGGGTCAAAGACTCGGACTTTTTAAACAGAGAGCCGGCTCCAGTCCTTCCTGTACTGAGGGTGCCTGGTCAAAATCCAACAGCTCTCAGGCCCTGAGTAGTCTGAGCTACTTTTGTGGACTTCACAATATCAGGCATATAGTTTTTTTGATATATCCATCACAAATCAGAGAAATTGAGAACAATAGCAGTGAACAAAAATATAATGAAACGTTTTTGTTATAAGAAGAATTTCTTTTTCAAAATAATTTGACAATTTTTGCATTCATTGGCTAGTGGAGGGTTGCAGACTCAGAGCTGTGCACTGTGGCCCAGACATGTGGGATGTGGTTGCCTGCTCAAGTGTCAAGCAAAACCCCCCACGTGTCATATTCTAAGCAGCAATATAACTGTTAGACCAGAAAAGACACTCTGAATGTGAAGCAGGTGTTAGCAGTGAGTCCATCGGCTCAGTGCCCAAGTCATTGTTTCATTTGAAATCAATAGAATATTGTAATTATGCCATCAGCTAAGGATGGAAAGATGGCCGTGACGTAGCAATGATTACACTTCTACAGGGAGTGCAGAATTATTAGGCAAATGAGTATTTTGTCCACATCATCCTCTTCATGCATGTTGTCTTACTCCAAGCTGTATAGACTCGAAAGCCTACTACCAATTAAGCATATTAGGTGATGTGCATGAGGGTGGGAATGGATGTTTGTATCTGTGTGTGCCTGTA